GGAGTTGATCCCAGTCAGGAACCAGGACCTATTCTAACCGTCAGTGAAATCTGAATCGGGACTCAGGATCGAAAATCTGTCAGCCAAAGCTGTGGACCCCACCTGGGACCTAACAGGAATAGGGTGGGATGGGGTGTCCCGAAGCTCAGGTAAGTGCTACTAACTTAAGGTGAAGCCAGCTGGCGTGAACCAGATCTGAATTGGATCTAATGACTTGAGATGTTTTCTGGGCTAGTGCTTTTACAAACTCCCTACTATATCTTCCCTTACTGACGGGGCAGGAACCCGAATCTGGGATCTCTCAGCTAGATAAAGGACTTACATGTTAAATCTTAACACATGAGTGATTGGAAATCATTGTGCAGTGAGAATGCAGAGTTCCAGACTGGAAGTAATATGGGAAAGATCGTATTCAGGAAAAGGTTTCAGTTTCTCTGTGAAGCAAGCATGATACCCCACCTATTTCCTGAACATGAAAATTGAGCTGGGATTAGGACTGTATGTGCAGGGAGCACATCAGCCTCCAAACAAGAGAGATGAAACTGATAGCGTATTTCTTTGGCCACCTGAAGTTGACAGAAAGGGAGAAATTGCCTAGCAAGAAGTGACAGTTTTAGAAAGTAGATGTAAGTATGAAGAAAATGGAATGAGATCAACAAGAGGACACCATCCATGTGAAAGTAAAACTAATGGCATTCACAACCAAGCAGGATGATTAATATGTACAGAAGTCATCAGGTCCTCCTGAAGAAAACTGGGTGAAGAAAGAAACAGATGATTGTTCTTTACAGTCTTATTCTTATACGTTAGTAAAAGTGCCAGCCACTAAAGGTGAGGACTGAATTGAGGGAGAAGTAAAGTGGAGGGGACTGTTGAAATAAATATGACAGAGACCAATGCCTCCTTTACATGTTAACGGTAATAGTCAAACAGTAACCTGGCAGCTTCTTGTTGTATGTTTTCTCTTCAAATCAGGAAAGTGTTGTGTATTCAAAAGGAGGAGAGAGTCAATTTGGGAAATGCAAAGTAGATCTCTTTTACTTCCTTCTAGTTTCAGTACCATTTCATGTTTTCATTAGTAATGTGGAAAGTGCTCATTAAGCTTTGTGAATGACATCAAATTGGCAGAAGTATTTTAGCACAAGGTAACTCCTAACAAGGGCCATATCCACTGAAAATAGGGTAAATGCACTTGACTAAAATGGACATTAGAATGTTAAATGCCCTTGTCACTTGGAAGAAATAGAAATGAACAGTAAAATCCATGAGAAGGAAGTAACAACACTGAAATGTAAAACGAGTAAGTACAAATAATAAGATGCAGACATTATATGTATAGACTCTAGGTTGAATGACTTGGGAGTTAATGCCACATATCCAAAAGTTAATAAAATCTAGCTGCAGAGTAACCTCCTTAGAGGTAGACTTGGACTTAGACTGTTAGTAGAGTGCAGGGTTTAGGATGCTGTTTTTCTGGATGAGTACTGAATAAAAAATAGATCAGAGGCCGGGCGCGGTGGCTCAAGCCTGTAATCCCAGCACTTTGGGAGGCCGAGGCGGGTGGATCATGAGGTCAAGAGATTGAGACCATCCTGGTCAACACGGTGAAACCCCGTCTCTACTAAAAATACAAAACATTAGCTGGGCATGGTGGCGTGTGCCTGTAATCCCAGCTACTCAGGAGGTTGAGGCAGGAGAATTGCCTGAACCCAGGAGGCGGAGGTTGCAGTGAGCCGAGATCGCGCCATTGCACTCTAGCCTGGGTAACAAGAGCGAAACTCCGACCCAAAAAAAAAAAAAAAAAAAAAAAAAAAAAAAATAGATCAGAGAAAGCAGTGAAAATTATTGTGGCTTGAAAAATACAGAGTAATAGTTTGTCTTAGAAATATTACTGCAACTTATCCATTTAACCACTGTTTCATTACATAATGGAAGGTTATCTTCTTATTCCATATAATTTACATAGTGCTATTGTTGCTATAAACATTTTATAAATTCCTGTTAAAAATGCTTCTAGAATATTTGGGTGCATATCCTTAATGGAGGCAAATCTTTGCCCTGTGACAAGATGGAATTGATTTTGCAGGAACAGAGACTATTCAGAATCAAATATGGTGAAAAAAGTGGGCGGTCAAAATGGGTAATACTGCTTGGTGTCAAAATAATGTGGGACTGGAAAGCAAGGAGACTGCTTTACTCCTGAGGCCGATAAACCCATTGAGGAAACACTCCTGAAAGAGAAGTTCCAGAAATGTTTTGCATAACCACAGCATTGCTGGAATAAGTCAATTGTAGCCTTCCAAGGTAACTATTTTGAAGAACAGTTCTTACTCATTTACATAAGCTTTAGAATTTTTGTTTTTAAAAATTAGTCATACAACATTGCAGTTATGCCAGGAAGCCCTACATTAAGGAAATAATGTTTTGAGAAAAAAATGCTGAGGAGTCGTCAACAATACAAAAGCTTATTTTAGAAGACTCGTATTCATTTGCACTTAATACTGGGATTTAAATGACTTAAAGGGAAGAACTAGGTGAGACCAGTATGATTTGTGTCAGTGAGTATGTTAAATGCTTTTGCAGGCATGAAAGTGAAGTTCAAATCCCTTCCTTCAGAAAGGGCTTCCCAGTTTGCTTGTCCCTGGCTAAGTAGATGATGGAGAGGAAAAGCAGCCCAGTCTTTAAGACTGGAGGCAGGTATCCATGTAGTTGGAGCCTAAAGGGCAACCACAATGTTTGGAAATGAAAGCTGACATTGCCTCTTGGCATGCAAGCCTGTCCATCCCCAGCAACTTACCAGGGTCAAGTTGACTTTAAATATCCTTGAGAGGGACCATGAGAAGTCAGCATAGCCTTGTTGGGCCATGGTTATTCAACCAGCTATTTTCATGGTCATAATGGAGAGGCTTGGGAACCCAGATAAATCCCAGTTTCCTTTTCGGGGCCTCAGAGGCACCAGACTTTATCTCTGGGGACTGATTTCTGCAACCCAAAACAGCTGGAACCCTTCTCAAAATCATCTACCTAAGTACCCACCTATCATCAAGCTGCTGTTGTTGGTTCTGAAGTGGTGAAGCAAATATCCACTTATATAATAAAAAGGGGAAGAGCAGAGGGAGATAAATCTCCAATTTCCAGATGTAAACGATATCTACACATATTCACCTGTGAAAGGTTAGGAAATGAGGACATTAGCTTATTTGATTTTCTTGCATCTAATAAGTATTCAGTGATCTTGTGTGCCAAGCACTATCTGAAGTGTCTTACATACATGTATTCATTTACTCTGTGAAGCAACTTCATGAAGTAGAAACCATTTTCATTATTTTACAGTTGAAAGGAGGCTTAGGGAACAGTTATATAACTTGCCCAAGGTCACAGAGTTTAAGTGGCACAGTTATGATTTGAACTCAGTGTAACAGACTCTCAAGATTTCCATACAGCTCCCCAAAAGCAGATTACAAGAACAGGGCAAGGCACAAAATTTCACGGTAAAGTTTATCCCTGAACATATGACCTTCAGATTAATAGTGGGACGCGTAAATTACTATAGCCACAGAGAAACTTTAAAAGAAAAACAAAAAACACAAAATTAACTCGATTTATTAGTGACTAAGGACAGTTAGTTGCCCATGTGTATTTGTGAAATGACTTATACTGGAGGCAATGCTACCATGATCTGTAAATTCTTAGATATGGACAAATATATCTTAGAATCATTTTGAATGCAATACAAATCTTTATAGCACCTTATAAATTACCAGTGGCTTTCACATGCCTTATCTCTTTTAATCCCCACAACAGCCCTATGAGCCAGCCATTCTTGGCCTCATGTTATAGATGACAATTTTGAAGTTTAGAGGGTTGAGTGACATACCCAAGATGACACAACTAGCAAAGCTAAGGCTCGGACTCAGGCTTTTTGACTCAAATGTGGCTTGTCTTTTACCAAACCACTTACCTCTCTACTGGGTTGTTTGGCTTTTTGCCAAAGCCAAGTAGAGGTTTTGCATATTAAGGTTTTTCAGAAATTCTTACTTAGATATTTCGTCTTTCTGTAAAAGGCAGATTTATTGGCCCACAAATTCATTTTTATATTTGGCATAGCTTATGCCCAGGTCCTCTCCATAAGGGTATGTTTTCATTGAGTTAGAATTGTTGAGTTAGATTTAGATATGTGTATAGAATGTTCAAAGTAGCTTATCCAGAATCCAGTTTTCTCTTGGGGATGAAGAGTTCCAGGCCTCCAAAGCCAAACCTTTCAGAATTGGTGGCCAAATACACCATTGACTGCAGCAGAACAATGTAATTTCTGAACATTCTCCTATACAAGATTAGTTTTGAATAAATGTATGGAAACACGTTAAGCCAAGAGGCTCAGTTTATCTTTGCTTATTAGTAGCTATAGCCAGCATTTGACCTGTGGTCTCTATGAATAACTCTTCTGATGGATTTTATATGCCTCGTGTGATAGGAAAGATCAGTAAACAAATCCTTTATTGGAAATACATGAGGTTTGGGGGTGGGGGTGGGGGGAAGGAGGAAAGATTGTGTCAAATTGTGATAAGTAATACTGTACACATCCAGTAACTAACGTTTTAAGCTTCCGGTTTTTTCTTGGTAGCAGGCAAGAGAAAATAACCAGAGGAATGTGGATTTCTTGCAGCTAACTGAGACCTGTTCATCTGGTTAGTTTCTTTTCTCCCATGCTCTTGAGAAAAGGTATTACTCTTGGATTCCAGCTGGCCAAGAGGAAGGTTCAAGCTTTTTTTTTTCTTTTTTTTTTTTCTTAAGACAGAGTTTCACTCTTGTTGCCCAGGCTGCACTGCAGTGGCGTGATCTTGGCTCACTGCAACCTCCACCTTGCAGGTTCAAGTGATTCTCCTGCCTCTCAAGTAGCTGGGGTTACAGGTGCACGCCACCATGCCTGGCTAATTTTTCTGTATTTTTAGTACAGACAGGGTTTCACCATATTGGTCAGGCTGGTCTCGAACTCCTGACCTCAGGTGATCTGCCCACCTCGGCCTCCCAAAGTGCTGGAATTACAAGCGTGAACCACTGTGCCTGGCCAAAGGTTCAAGCTTTTAAGTCCAAATGGAATCCAGTGATTAGATTGAAGCAGAAGTTTAAACTATACTTGGGCATCACTTGCCCTTATTGGCTCACCAGTGATTGTAACTGATACAGTCATGTGGTAAAAGATTCATTCATTAATTCAGCAAACAAATCATAAGTGCTTATTGTGTGTCTGGCACCAGACATTGATTTTATATTAACTATTAGTTTCCATGTTACTTTACCTTAAAATGGGTCAGTAGATGAGAAACTTTGCTGAGGATACACACTCTTCAGAAAAGGTCTAACTTAGGGAGGTGTTTCAAATAAGATTAATTTCCCAAATTTCAACAAAACTGTCCAGGAACATCATACAAAGTATCTACCCTACACTTTTATTCCAATCATTGAATCCTTTAGAGAGATTCCAAAGATTATGTTTCACTGAGACTGATTTTATTTGTTAATGCCAATTTTGGGATTCAATAAATATAGATTAGAAATCTGGAAGGGCACTACAGGATTGGAGACTAGATTGGTTTCTAGCTAGACACTCCCATCTTTGCAGTTTCAGGGTCTTTCCCAAGAAATAAAAGCAGCATTTTTAAGAATGCCAAGACTGGATGTAGACCCAGCTGCCATTGCCAGCTAGTCTGAAAAAATATCAAATTAGCCGCCCCTCAGGGCTGGGGGCAGTCTTTAGGTTTAAAGCATAAATTATGTCATAGACAGTCAATACTTGAATTTAGAATCCATTTGTAAAGAACTGTCAGCTTGAGTGTATTAAGGCGAAAAAGTAACTTCTGAAGCACAAGCTTGATATTTGTTGCTGAGGCTCTGAATCCTTTTGGAGTACCAAGACATTTAGCAAGTGGTGGCATTATTTTTTCAGGGAAAATAATGGTGTTCCATTCTTAGGGTCATAGATGACTAAAAAAAGAAAGTTCCAAGGCTGATAAGAAAGATCAGCTATAGGCCGGGCGTGGTGGCTCATGCCTGTAATCCAAGCACTTTGGAGGCCAAGGCGGGTGGATCACATGAGGTCAGGAGTTCAAGACCAGCCTGACCAACATGGCGAAACCCCGTCTTTAAAAAAAAAAAAAAAAAAAAAAATCAGCTATAGATTTGGACATAGCTGAATATCCCTCTCACAGATTGGCATAGCTCCATGTAAAAGGTCTGCCCAGTGCCCAAAGCCTGTGTGTTGAGGTGGGGCAAGAAGTTGGCTTTGCTGACATTGCGCTTCTCCTTGCTGTAATTTCAGACCCGGATGCAGAGTCTACAGCCTGACCCAGCTGCCCGCTATCGCAATGTGTTGGAGGCCCTCTGGCGGATTATAAGAACGGAGGGCCTATGGAGGCCCATGCGGGGGCTGAACGTCACAGCAACAGGCGCAGGGCCTGCCCACGCCCTTTATTTTGCCTGCTACGAAAAGTTAAAAAAGACATTGAGTGATGTAATCCACCCTGGGGGCAATAGCCATATTGCCAATGGTATTGAGCCTTCCTGTGCTGGTTCCCCCACTTTCCCAACTCTTTGGGCTTTGCTGCTGTCAGTGCTTTCCAGTCTCAGCATGGTTTGGAGCTGAAGTTTTGGGCTGGGATAGGCCAGATTATAAGGGAGGGACTTCCAAACCTAATGTTCTCAGACAACGGGCCGCTTCGACCCCACTTTTTCCTTTGGGGCACCTCAACAAAGGGTTACAGTATCATCTTCCCTTACCTACCAGCTTGACTTGTTCCTCTCATCTTCTCCCTGGCATCAACTTCCAATGCCCTGGTAATGTGGAGACACACTGAACTACCCCAGTGTATGTCTGAGAGGTGGGTGGTGTCCTCCTAGGGGCAGGATTGGAGGTAACCCAGCCAGCCACCCAAGGAAGATACTAATGAAGCCCCTGCTCTTCACCTCACCTTTTCAGGATTCCCACTCACCAGAGGCAGTTTGTGTTGAGAACATGACAAAGTGGGTGGGGGGTGGGGCTAAGGAACTACATGAAGAAATCAGAAGGTTGTGTGGAAGTAAGAGGAAGGATAGCAGCCTAGGGCTTCAGGACTGCCTGGAAACCAAGTTGAGTGTGGAGAGGGTGAGGGGTAGAGTAGTTTAGGACCTGAATGAAAGATCTTTCTAGACAAATGTTAGGATCTGCAAACGGGTCTGGCAGCAGGACAGTGGTGGGATTCTGTGGTGAGATTCCATGAGATCTGACTACCTGGCCCCATATTCTCCCTCCACTGGCGGCAGGTGATGTGCTGGAATCCTTATGCAGCAGTGTATCTGCTTCCTATCTGGGCTGTAAGCTGCATTTATTCCCAGAAAGATGTTTATTGATAAGATCTGAGCTGCTCTTTCTGGTCTTCTTATCATAGATGTGGAATACATTTATGACCTTACAAAGTTGGTGGGAACAGATATCGTCCTTTCTTAAACAGGAGTTTAGGAGCAGTGGGTCCCCCATCTCTTGGACTAGCTCTTAATGTTCCCTTTCTCCATTGTGATGTAGCATAGCCACTCCCCTTCATTGGAAGACCTCCATGAGTTGGTCACACTCTCTTGGCCTTACACGTGGCAGTTATTTTTTTTTGTTTGCAGGTGCAGCCGGGTGTGTGGCAACATTACTTCATGATGCAGCCATGAACCCTGCGGAAGGTAATGATTTCTCAGCCTATGCCTGTGTGGGCAGCTGCATCTATAGTTCCAGTTGGCAGAAGAAAGCACATCAGTTTTGGTGGGAAATCCTGTTACCCTGTTTTACCACTAGAGGGTGCTCCCTCCATGTTTTCAGTACTTAGGAGGCACCCCCCGCCCCCTTGGACAGGAAGCAGATTCACTGGGATTTCATTAATCCTTGGGGCTTCCCTCAAAAAAGGTATGGCTCCCTGTGGCCTGTTCTTGGGTTTTCCTGGTGGAAGTCTCCTTTGCAGTAGATTTGATCTGTCCTGAAAGTTTAGCAGATTGATTTTTCTTCAAAGAGGTAAAGATGGATACTTTTTTTTCCTGCCCCCTATGATTTGCTGGAATTGGCACTTAAATATATTGCCTTTCTTGGCCAGGTGCGGTGGCTCACGCCTGTAATCCCAGCACTTTGGGAGGCCGAGGCGGGTGGAGCAGGAGGTCAAGAGATCGAGACCATCCTGGCCAACATGGTGAAACCCCGTCTCTACTAAAAATACAAAAATTAGCCGGGCGTGGTGGCACGTGCCTGTGGTCCCACCTACTTGGGAGGTTGAGGCGGAAGAATCGCTTGCACCCAGGAGGCGGAGGTTGCAGTGAGCCAAGATTGCGCCACTGCACTCCAGCCTGGCGACAGAGCAAGACTCCGTCTCAAAAAAAAAAAAAAAAAAAAAAAATGCCTTTCTTATCGAAATTAAGCTAGTTGAGATAGGAAGGAAAGTTTAAATTGTAGAACTCAGCCCCTGCATTTCTGCTGGGATCTTAGCTTTTCAGTTGTAGGAAAATTCTCCAAAAACATTCTCCGTGTGAGGATGAACAAATATGAGGAGATAGCATTGTTGCCACATTCATTTTCTGTCTGGGCAAGGCCGTGGGGTGGAAGGGGCCAAAGCTAAGCTGAAGTTCCACAGAGTGCACACCGTGTTATGTACTTGAGGGAATGGGAGGTGTTTGCAAACTAAAGCCAACTCTTTTTGGCTAAGAATCTTTTCTTTGGTAGCACTTCTCTCTCCTGCCCTCTAGGAGGATCACCATCTCACATCAAGAGTTAGGTGCTTTTTGTTCCTGAGGATTGGGATTGTTAGGGGCCTGTGTTCATGATGATGTTCACTGTCATGGAGTCATTTCTTGTTGGGAGTTGTAAGAGGGTAAGATCAGAGATAGGTACTTAGTTTAAGAAGACTCTCTGGAGCTCCCAAACCATAGATATATCCTATATGTGAATTGGCTGGCTTTACTGAAGTCCTGATGAAAGTGGGTTTATTGTTTTTTGACTGGTTACCAACCCTCTGCCTACTCCCTCCCCTCAAAAAAGGGAAACTGACTTCTCAGGTTAGCCCGCAGCTCACTCATACTGTTTTCTCTCTATATTCCATTGGCTGATTTGCTGACTTGGGACTCTGAATCTGGACACTCTCCGACACTGTCCATCACTGGTTGGCTGCTGTCACCACTTCCTTCCACTTTGATGGCACTACCAGTCGTCAAGCAGAGGATGCAGATGTACAACTCACCATACCACCGGGTGACAGACTGTGTACGGGCAGTGTGGCAAAATGAAGGGGCCGGGGCCTTTTACCGCAGCTACACCACCCAGCTGACCATGAACGTTCCCTTCCAAGCCATTCACTTCATGACCTATGAATTCCTGCAGGAGCACTTTAACCCCCAGAGACGGTACAACCCAAGCTCCCACGTCCTCTCTGGAGCTTGCGCAGGAGCTGTAGCTGCCGCAGCCACAACCCCACTGGACGTTTGCAAAACACTGCTCAACACCCAGGAGTCCTTGGCTTTGAACTCACACATTACAGGACATATCACAGGCATGGCTAGTGCCTTCAGGACGGTATATCAAGTAGGTGGGGTGACCGCCTACTTCCGAGGGGTGCAGGCTAGAGTAATTTACCAGATCCCCTCCACAGCCATCGCGTGGTCTGTGTATGAGTTCTTCAAATACCTAATCACTAAACGGCAAGAAGAGTGGAGGGCCAGCAAGTGAAGTAGCACTGAACGAAGCCAGGGGTTCAGATGACACTGCTGCGTCCTGCTCACATTCTCTGTCTCCTGGCATGCTCCAGCCTCAAGTGGAGTTAGAAGGAAGGTAGAGGGGCTCTCCTCAGGATTTTGGTGTTTTGGCTAACACCAGTTCCTGCCAGCCTCCATTGCCACCACCTTTCCTTCCAGGCCCTAAGCACGTGCAGCAAAGCACACCACAGCACCTTTGATAACCTCTCTCCATCCTGGGCCTGACGACCTGCTCTAGACTGTTATAGAGGGATAAGCAGCTCATTCCCCTGGTTCCTAATAAAAAGCCTTTAAATGGTTTCACTGGGTTTGTCTTGCTAAAGGGGAAGTGAAATACTGTTAACTGTTCTTGACTTTCCTTGAAGCTTAAATCAATGGACCCAAAGGGAAGGTTTGTTATGTCTGTAGTTTTTATTTTCTGCTAATTTTCATGAGGATTTAAGACAGTAGTAGGCCCCAAGGAGTCTCCCTGATGTCTAGAACAACAAGCCTTTGACAGATTCCAACCAACCAGACGCTCCTGAACCCCACTATCTTCCCTAGGGCAGTAGCTCAGTGCAGAAGAGGCAGATCTCTGCTCTAATTCGCAGCTCTGCCTGCAGCAGTGTTTACATTGTGGCACTTTGTTATTCAGTGAGGCTGCCACTCCTGAAGGTTACATGGTAAATAATACGTTTCATTTAAGGCTTTCACAGAGTACTTAAGCATGTGTGATCTCATTTGAACCTCACAAAATCTCTAAAGTAGGCAGTGCAGGTGTCATTTCTATTTCACAACCAAGAAAGCTCAGAGGCTGTGGCTGGTCCAAAGCCTCAGTCCGTGCAGAACTGGGACCACAGCCCAAGTCTTTTTACCTCACAAATGAATCTAAGCGTGGCTTCCTATGGATAGGAAATGAGTGGAAAGGATGTTCTCCAACCTGCCATCTACTGAGGAAGCTCCCTGCGTGATGAGCACTTGGGCTCTGCTTGTAGACTTTCAGAGATGGGACTTTCCCTATGCTTGTAGGTCAATGTGTTCCTTTTTTTTTTTTTTTTTTTTTTTTTTATATATATGGTCAGTTATTAGCAAGTTCTTTAGTACATGGAAATGGACCCCTCTGAATCTTCCACCTATCCTTGTTCTGTCATCTGTCATTTCTTCATTAACTATTGAGTGTCTCTGTGGCAAGCACTGGTATTGGAAATACAATGATACATAAAACAATTACAGTCCTAAGGAGCTTATTGTCTGGAGAAGAAGATACATGGAAACAGGCAATTAAAAGATAAAATGACAGGAGAGAAGATAAAGATAAACCTAGAATACTCAGAAGACAGAAGGATATCCACTGTAGCCTTGGGTGACCAGGTAGACTTTTGGAGGAAGTGACATCTGAGGTGATACCTGGAAGGCAAATGAGCTAACTTGGCAAAAGGGGGAGGGGTTATGTTCTAGGCAAAGACCTGGAGGTAAGATAATTAAAAAGTATTTGGGATTTGGTGTGCAAGTGGTTTGGTAGGACTGAAACAATCTGGGCAAGGCATGCAGCTGGAGAGCCAAGCAGAGGCTGAGTCTTAAATGTAATGCTATGGAGTTTAGATTTATCCTGAAGGTCCACGCAAAAGTATTATGGAGTTTTAAGCAGAGGTGTTCTGTGATCTAAACAGAACACTTAGCCTCTCTGGAGAAAGGATTAGAGGAGCAAGACTGGACGGGCAGGGTAACTGGTTAGGAGGCTGCTGTGGTAATCCAGGCAAGAGCATGGTGGTCTGGAGCAGGCCGGTGGCATGGAGCTGGGAGCCATGTTCGGGCTATAATCCAGGCAAGTACATGGTGGTCTGGAGCAGCCCGGTGGCATGGAGCCGGCAGCCATGTTCGGATTGTAGAAGCAATAGGATTCTGTCACAGAATAGATCTTGTCCTCCTCCACCTGACAGCCCTTCAATATCTATGGAGAATCATGTCTGAATGCACTTGAAAAAAAACTGTCAAGAAACCAGCAGGGTCTCCTGTTCTAAGCTTTATTTAAGTAGGCTATGCTGCCCTTTTGATTTAGCATGGAGAGGAGAGATTTTAATAGTGCTAAGCGGTGGTTGCTGAGTAAAAAGAGTGTGATGATATCACTGCAGAGGTCATTTCAGAGGGTTTGCTAGTAAAAATGTAATTTGAGTAGCTGCCTCCCAATACAGACTGAGTGAAAGAGCAAAGGGATGGCTATCAGGACCTAGTCCCTGCAGCCACCTTTACAGAGCTGTCTGGCACACAGTAGGACAGTAACGCTCATTTTTCAAGAATAGAATGTGGGATAATTTCTTAAAGATTGGTAGCTGCTAGAGACCACCTCAGCTCTAATGCTGTTCACAAATAATGGGAAAAGAATACAAAAGTGCAGGGCATGGTGCTTCACGCCTGTAATCCCAGTACTTTGAGAGGCAGGCGGATCACCTGAGGTCAGGAGTTTGAGACCAGTCTGACTAACATGGACAAACCTTGTTTCTACTAAAAATATAAAATTAGCTGGGCATAGAGGTGGGCGCCTGTAATCCCAGCTACTTGGGAGGCTGAGGCAGGAGAATCACTTGAACCCGGGAGGTAGAGGTTGCAGTGAGCCAAGATCGTGCCATTGCATTTCAGCCAGGGCAACAAAAGCAAAACTCCGTCTCAAAAAAAAAAAAAAATACAAAAGTGATCTTCCAGCCTCTGATTGTACCCCAGCTACTGGAGGACATTTGTAATTTGGACAGACCATTAGATTCTGCAAGTCTCTTGGCCCGGTAGCTAGAGGTCAAAGAGGAGACAGAGGCAGAATAATGTGAGAGGTTGATCATTAGCAATGCCATTGACTGGATACCTGGGTCATCTCCATGGGGCTCAGCAGGCCCAGGAGAACTGTGGGTGTTTGGGGGCATCCCCAAGTCCAGAGCCTCTGTGGAAAGCCAGGTAGTTCATGTGACACCTGAAGGATCCAATACCAAGCCATCATCAAGTGGCAATTCCTGCACAGTGCTATATGTCAGGGAAAATGAGAAAATAAGTCACAATTTGGCCACAGGAAAATTTTCTTCATAGGCGAGCCAAGACCAACATGAGTGAAACAAACTTGTAATAACACCAGACAGTATATAGACATGTACTGGATTATACAGAATCAACAATGAGATTTAGAGACAGGAAAGACAAGCGTAGGTCAGAGTAAACAGAGAAGAAGGTGGCTTTGATGAATTAAAAAATACTTTCGTAAAGCCAATAAAAGTTGAATCATGCTAATTTTGTAAAATTTAGAAAGCATAGATAAAAAGAAAATACTTCAAATCCCATTACCCAGAGAACTTGACCTTCTAACAGACAGAGCTTTGCAGCAATGACACGGACAGCCTTACACAGCAGCGAGCTCTCAAATACAGGAGCTGGAGCTGGTCAGGCCTGCCAGGGATGCTGTACAGTGAAGTTGAGCTCCTGGAGGGATGCAGAGCAAGATGACCTCTAAGAAGCCTCCTAGCTCTAGATGTTCTCAGGGCCAGCCTCAGCCCCACTATCCTCTAACCTGCATCCTGGTCTCCAGGCCAGATCTCTTCAGTGCCTGTCAGGAGGTGGTGTCAGACTGTCTCACACCTCGGAACTTTCTCTCCATACCAACCTATCTACTCTCCTTTTGGTCATTCAGATTCTACCTACCCAGAGTAATGTTTCTGATAATAAATTATTATTATTATTTTTTGAGACGGAGTTTCGCTCTTGTTACCCAGGCTGGAGTGCAATGGCGCGATCTCGGCTCACCGCAACCTCCGCCTCCTGGGTTCAGGCAATTCTCCTGCCTCAGCCTCCTAAGTAGCTGGGATTACAGGCATGCGCCACCATGCCCAGCTAATTTTTTGTAGTTTTAGTAGAGACGGGGTTTCGCCTTGTTGACCAGGATGGTCTTGATCTCTTGACCTCGTGATCCACCCGCCTCGGCCTCCCAAAGTGCTGGGATTACAGGCGTGAGCCACCGCGCCCGGCCCGATAATAAATTATTATAAAGGTGCCACAGGGGGCCAGGCATGGTGGCTTAAGCCTGTAATCCCAGCACTTCGAGAGGCCGAGGCAGGCAGATCACTTGAGCCCAGGAGTTTGAGACCAGCATGGCCAACATAGTGAAACCCCATCTCTACTAAAAATATAAAAATTAGTGGAGGGTGGTGGCATGCACCTGTAGTGCCAGCTACTCAGGAGGCTGAGGCACAAGAATCACTTGAACCTGAGAGGCAGGGGTTACAGTGAGCCAAGATGCTGCCACTACGCTCCAGCCTGGGTGACAGATCAAGACTCTGCCTCAAAAAAAAAAAAAAAAAAAAAAAAAAAAAGAAAAGTGCCACAGGGGACTTATTGAATAAGCTATTGATATTATCAAACATTCATACAATGAAATGTTGCATGGCCATTTACACTGCAGTGATAAAAGAAAATTTAATGTGGAAAGATAGACATTATATGTCAAAGAAATTGATTACAGTAAAATCTCATTTTTGAAAATTACCAAAAAATGATACATAGAAAAAATAATGATGTATACATCAAAATACTGGATGTGCAGTATTTTGTTACTTCCTGCAACCTTAGACTCATAGTGAGTGGAACACAAGTTCTGTTGGAGTCACACACAGTATTCCATGCATTGTCACCACTGCCACCACCACCTCTGCCACCGACATTCATACACTAAGTAGAAAGGAAAATGTTTACACTTCAAGGCACTTAAATCATTCTGTAATTTCCACCTATGATAGTACCTCCTGCTTGCTGGGGCAGCACAAAATCAGACTAATCCTTCTCTCTGACAGCCCTTCAAAAATATTAAGACAGCTGTCATGTCACCCTGGGAGGGGTCAGAGCAAGGAGATCCTGAAAACTAGGCAGAGAAGTTTAGACTTGACTTGGCAGCTAATGAGGAGCTCTTGTGGTTCTTGAGCAGGGAGGGAGATGACTAAAGTAATACCTAAGGATGATTCAATCGGTAGCCCAGTTACAGAAGACCCTGGAGCAGGGAGAGCCGGAGATGGAGACGGGGACTCCAGCAGAGGGGCTATTGTCATCATCTAAACAAAGATGAATCTGAGAAAAATTGTTGCAAGAAGATGAAAAGCACCTGATGATGGTTTAGACATTAATGTGGGAACTTAACCTGTAGGTTGTCTTGTACTCATTTGATTGTGTTTTCTCTCCCTAGTTAGATTAGAACCCAGAATCATGTCTTTCAGGAGTCACCCTCTGTCTGCTCTGTAGTACTGATAACAGATGCATGATAACTACTTGTTTCCTATGGTCAGACACCAAGACTT